CGCTCTTTTCAAAGTTAAACTTCAACTGCCATTTCTCAGACCACTTGCATAGGCGGTTTAGTCCTTCTTGCAGCGCCAGTTCATCATTTTCACCGTTGATCGCTCGAAATAACTTGATGTCATCGGCAAACATGACTCCATTGCAGTCCAGTCCATTCATACAGTCGTTGACATGAATTAAAAATAGTACTGGTCCGAGTACAGAGCCCTGGGGAACTCCACTCACGAATGGCACTGGCGATGACTTCGCACCACCAATACACACATATTGTGATCGACCAGTCAGAAAGTCCTTTACCCAGTTTAAAAGGTTTCCTCTTATCCCTGACTCTCCGACCTTGTAAAGTAACCGGTGGTGTGGAACACTGTCAAAGGCTTTCTTGAAATCAATGTAAACGATTTTGACATTTGTTCCTGCGTTTAACGAGCGAGACCGATGTTCCGTTGAATAAAGCATATTAGTTACGCAGGAGTGATTTCGTCGAAAGCCATGTTGAGAACTAGCAATGCAATTATTTTCTACAAGGAACTTCATTATGAATTGTTTGACTATTCTCTCCATGACTTTGCAACAAATGCACGTTAGGCTCACCGGCCGATAGTTGTTTGTACTTGTTCTAGATCCACCCTTGTCAATGGGGTATATGTTCGCCACTTTCCAATTAGAGGGGGGAATGCGTCGGTCAAAGGACGACCTGAAGATGTGTAAAAGCGGTCTGGCGAGTTCGCAAGCCAACTCCTTTAGAACTTTTGCCGGAATTTGGTCGGGACCCGGAGACTTACCCTCTTTAAGCGCTAGAAGTTCCTTCCTGACATTTTCTTCTGTGAAGACGATGTTTTCTATTATTTCGTTGGTTGTCCCAGCAGCCAATCCAGCCTCGTCAAAGTCCGTTACATCAGTGAAAACAGATACGAAAAACCAGCTTAGAGTTTCTGCCTTAGCGTCATTTTCGATTATATCCTCATTGTTTTCTCTTTTCAACACTAAGATCGTCTCCTTGTTCTTTAACCTACTGTTGATGTAACTGAAGAGCACTTTTAGCTTATCGACGGCCCGTTGCATAACTCGCGTTTCATACTCCTTTCGCGACCTGCGGATATCCGATCTTACCTCGTTTCGCTTTCGCCGAAACTGCTCGTAATGAGATGGTTGTTTTGTTGTTGTATACCTTCTCCATAGTTTGTTTTTCCGGTTTACTTCTTTCTTTATATCCCGCGTTATCCAGGCAGGAGGAATAGTCTTTCTGACTCTCTTTGTTGGACAGTTCCGATTCATGATGTCTGTTAAAACTCCTTTGGGAGTGTTCCAATCAACGTCCGGATGTCCGGAAAAAACATCATTCCAGTCCACTGCTGATAATTCCCTTCTCAAGGCGGCAAAATCGCCTCGCCAGAAATTCAGCCGGGGCTTCAGTCGTTTTCACTTGTTGGCTGCATAGGCGGTATTCCCAAAACAGCATGACATGGTCACTCTTACCCAGCGGTGTTATGGACCTAAGTTCGCCAGTGCTAATTGGGACTTTTTTAAGGACAAGGTCCAGACAATTTGCTCTTTGATCCGCTCTGATCCTGGTTGGGAACGTGACGTTTTGTACCAGAAAGAGATTAGCCGTGAGTTTCAAGAGCCTGGAATCAAACGAATTTCGCGGACCGTTTAATAATAAATTGTTCCAGTCAACCATGGGTGCGTTGAAGTCTCCGGTTATCAGTAATTCTTGGTTTTGTGACACCTCCTTAAATAATCCCAGCATCGCCTCGTCAAACTTAGCAGTTTGATTGGGCGACCTATATACGGCAGGAAATTCCAATATGGTGAGCCACGCATCCGCAGTTTTAACCAAATTGCTTCACAGTCGCGGGAGCAATCGGTTTTGTGTTCCGCCGGAATGATTCCTCTCTTGACGCAGACTGCTATTCCCCCCCTTTTTTATTCACTCTGTTCAGACGAAAACGTTGGTAATCATCGAGTGTAATTTCGGCATCCAAGACTTCGGTCTGGAACCAAGTCTCTGTGATAGAAATGACATCCGGCTGCGTATCTGTTATCCACACTTCCAGTTCATCTAGCTTCTGGAACAAATTCTGAGCATTTGCATAAACAAACCGGAGCTTAGCCCGGGCAGATTCACGAACGATTTTTGGGTCAAAGGTGCTGGATATTTCGTGCGAGTTTTCGGGTCTATCGTCCCCTTCCGAGTCTAATGGTGTTTGATTGGACTGGATGTTAGTGTGTTGGTCGTCGTTGTCAGATAGTTGCCTTCTTTCCTTATTATCTGGTTGTTCGTTATGCTCAGTGTTATTGGTTGTCTCCAGAGGAATGAGCTCCGAACATTTACTATTTTCCCATTCAATATTCTTAGTTTCCTCTCGCCAGAATTGTATCTTCTGAGGAATTCGGTCTTCAACTCCCTCAATTTCTCTCGTTCGGCCGGTGAGAAATCCGGCTGAAAAAAATTGTCGGGTGGGCATCTCGCAATGCTGTTTTCCTGTTCAGCAGTAATAGACCTACTTCCTCACTTTCGAGAATGATTTTTAATGGCCTATGATGGTCCGGCTCGCCCTTCAAAACCTTAACTGGTCCTATTCTGAAAGCCTTTAATACGGTGATGTTATCGTTCTCTCGTAATATGCGTTTGAGGTAATGCTGGAATAATTCTATATCGTAGTTTATTCTGTTCTTTGGGATGTCTGAAGAAGACTCAGGCATACCCTTTACGATGATGCATTTATTGCGATCAATAGGGCGCTGTCGTTTGTTTTTGTACGCAGAGTCTGCATTGAAAAAATTCGTGTTGTCCTCAATGTCCAATTCAGAGACAGCTGTCATGGTATAGCTACCACAGGGTTCCTCGTTTATCGAGGCGTCTTGCTCATGTGGTACCTATTTTGGCAGTGAGGGATTTGCTTGCATTCTGTGTGGATTCTGCTCTTCCTTGCTGACGCTCTGACATACTTGGTCTTTTCGGGATGCTTTAAGACGTCTTCTGGTTTTTTGGTGTGCCCTTCGATTATTTTGCGCTCGCACATGAGACAGGGTCTCGGTTGTGATTGAGTCCGTAGACGGGCTGTCTGCTTTTTCAGGGGCCAATTCAGTTACTGAAGTCGTACTGGCCGTGTTTCTGGTCATCATCTGAACTTCCGACATCGCCATCTTTCTCCTTTCGGGCGAATAGTGAGGAAGTTTCATCAGCTTCTCCATCTTAATTCTTAGATTCCTAATATCCTTCCCCATCTCCAAGATTTTTTGAAGAAGCCTAAAACATGACGCGCAGGCTTCGTCCTCGTATTTACCATCGAATACAGTTATTGGATTCCTTGCGCGTTTGGCGGGTGGTGATTTGACAGCAGAAGACTTATCGCAGAAGTCATTTACACAGCGGCTTTTGGTTACTTTATCATTTTTGTCAAGCTGCCGGCCGCGCGTCAATGGTGAAGTGGTATCCACAATTGCGCTGACACTCTCTTGCCCAGGTTCGAACCCGTCGCGGGGCGGGTTTTTTGCCCAATGTCTGGAGAACCCTGGATCGACTACCATTGTTAAGCAAATAAACTTGAAACGTTTGTAAAGGTAAGGAAACAATTTTTAGCGAGACCAACGGTATGAAGTAAATAACAAACGACTCAGCCGTTCTTGTATTTGGAGAATATCGCGGCTCGATCGTCAGAGATGTGGTCGGAAGGAGATAGGTTTTCCGGACGAAACTCCCGTTGCAATTCTGTGAGAATCGTGATATTGCTATGAAGAATTAACTTGTTAAATCCAACAGGCCGTCAGGTTGTTCAGCATTCAGAAGACTCGGAAGAAGGGAAATCCCTCGGAGGTCGAAAAATTCAAACCGAATTCAAATGACTAATATGAACCGTGCATTTTAATTACGCTGCCAAATTTTGGGCAGGATGCGGTATACATTGCTGTTGACCATCATTCGAGCACCTGTCAGTCTCGACATACGTGCTAGGCTGGAAGAACCAACAGCAAACACTGATCAGTCCGACGACTGACGTGGGCGCGGAGGAGGACGAAGGACATACTGTGCTGGCCACAACCAAGTCGGCAGAGAAGAGAACAATGGCAACGCATGCTTGCTTTTTTGTCACCATTTGGGACGTAAACGTTTACCCGTAGCAAACGGGTAATTAAGATTCCGTGCGTTTAGCGCGCCCTAATGAAGGGCTGGCGGCGAAACTCATTAACTCATGATCAAGAGAAGCAACAATTGCAGTGCTCTGATGATGAAGATTGGGAAGGTTCAGCCTGCGACAATCCTGATACATACAGCTGTCTGCTCAGGCAGGATTTTTAAGCGATCAATATGGAATCTACAAGATGACTATCAGACGCAATTAGTATCCATACTGGCAGGTTTATACAATTAGTTTATCTCATTTTTGAAACACAAGGCACCATTTTTTGAAGTTCAACCAACGTCGGCAAGGATCATGCTTGAAAGGAGCCAACGCTCTAACCAATCGAGACAAGTTTTAAGATCGGCTTTTGTGTGTCTAAATCTCACCGGGGTCATAAAGTGACTCAGAGTTACGTCAAAATAAATCATTTAAAATCGGCCAAAATAATCTATAAAATGAGCTCTGAAGTTATCTTGCAAATTAAATTTACTAACAAAAGAAAGACAAATATATGTACACGGGCAATAAAGATAATTACCCAAAATCGTAGACCGAAATATCGAGATTTTATCTGTTTTTAAAAGTACAATGATGGTTAAAGTGTAGAAAACGTTTTCCAGCTTGTGTCAGTAACAAATAACCCTTTTATATATGTACATTTGTTTAAGAATGTTTACTTAATAGAAGCTAAGAGCCGAGTCCCAGGAAGTAGTCTTGAAGAAGGAGACACGATCGCCGGGACAAGAGCTTTATTAGCCTGACGTTTCGGATTCCTACTCGAATCCATCATCAGAGACAAAAAACAGAAACGGGTGGTTGTTGCACAAGGGGCTGCGGCATTTATAGGATGCAGCAGCCATGCTACAGCATACCTATGAAAGTTCACGGCTTCCCCCTTCATCCGGGATTGTCACACTTGGTGTGATCATTGCTTGATGGCCGACATTCGAGTCGATAATTGCAGCAATTTCATCACGTGCGTTGGATGTTGGCGTGATGATTGCTCGACCATCTGACGCGTTGACCCGGGTGTTGGGAAGAATGTTCACCAGTGCCCTCCCCGCGTGGCCAATTACTCCGCCTAGACAAAGTCTCAGCACGCTGTATTGAATGGGAAGATCGTTGCACTTGTTGATGGACTGGGGGGAGGTAAACCATGATTCCAGTAGCTCCCGGCTCACTCGGTTGTCACCTCTCGCGAGAATTTCGGCCTCATAGAATTTAAATGTGTGACCGGATCTCGTCAAATGAGCCGCAACTTGAGAGCTGGCGTCATTTCTGCGCACTGCTGCCGCGTGTTCGGCCATTCTCTTTCGGAGCTGTCTTCCGGTTTCTCCGACGTAGTTGCTTTGTCCGCAACTGCACCAGATCCGATTAACGACCCCAGACGTTTTTAGCCGTGGCAGTGGGTCTTTCGGTTTCATGATCAGACGCCTGATGGTTGCCTCCGGTCTGTGTGCCACTCCAAACCCAAGTGATGAGAGAAGGCGGCCGACAGCTTCCGAAACGTTCTTGACATACGGAAGTGCCCGCCAAGACTTGGTGTCCGTGCGGTTAGGCCTTTCGTCCCTTTTGCGTATGCACCGATCGACGAAGTTGCGCGGGTAGCCATTGGCTTTGAAGACCCGTCGGAGGTATTGTAGTGCGGCAATTCTGTCTTTCGGCTCGCTGCAGTGCGTTTCGACACGCCCATAGAGTGTCCTTACACAACTGCGTTTGTGGCTGATTGGGTGGTTACTGTTGAAGTTCAGTACTTGCATCGTATTTGTCGCTTTCCTGAACACTTTGGTCTTTAGTCCACCACAATCTTTGCGGCATACGAGGACATCCAGGAAGGCCAGCTGGTTGTTCTCTTCCTCCTCCATCGTAAATTGAATGTCCGGGAAGACGGCGTTGAGATGTTCTTGGAATGTCAACACCTGATCCCGTTCGATGACGACGAAGGTATCATCCACATACCGGGCCCAGAATTTCAGTCTGTGGTGTTGGAAGACCAGCGACTCTAACCGTTGCAGGACCGCCTCGGCGATGAATCCCGAAATCGGCGAACCCATTGGTGTGCCCTTCACCTGCTCGTAGATTGTCCCGTCGAACGTGAAGTACGTCCTGAGACAGAGCTTCAGGAGCTGCAGAATTTGGGCGTGTCCAAGATGGTTCTCCGTCAGGCTAATAAAGCTCTTGTCCCGGCGATCGTGTCTCCTTCTTCAATGTTTACTTAAATATACAAATTTATTAATCAATGCAGCGGATTAGGTGGTTGTCGATTTATTTCAATTCCTCTCAATTTTCCATATTTTTTAGAGACCTCAGCGTTGTGGATTATTCGACCCTTTTGCGTGGTAATCACGAATGTTGTGTTTTCTGCCCGACAATCCCCTAGGCAAAAATCTCGAATGCACAACCGGCCATTTATTGGGCCACATACATGATCAGACATTTCACGCATGCTCGATAACGTGTTACACGTTGATTAGTTGCCTGATCTTACATGTGCTTTTTGCGTTCGGTATGGTCTTATGTGTCGTGGGTGGCAACGTCACCTTTAAGCCGTAGACGGTTAGACAACTTTGCTTCCACATACCCAAAACACCTACCACATTTGAACATTGGATCTGGCATATCGTCCTTCTCTGGCGCGAGATGCAATCCCCTGGAGGTTGTATGTGTTTGTGGCTCCTACGGACGGCGGATGACTTGGCTTGGAAACAGTCGTCAAATCCTTTTCGTTGTGATATGGGCAATGCTATGATGCCCAGCAGGCAAGCAACATAAGAATTTCTGCTTATATTTGGCTAGAATCAGTATTCGAATATATTATGTTGTACAGCTTAGCATGAAGCAAAATGTAAGTTTTCGACTTTCAGAAAACCTTGTAAATTTGTTGACATTGTCCACTGTCCACGCCACATTGGTCTCGGTATATGCGTATCTACGACAGCAGAAATGACCGCAGTCTTGATACACCCAGCACCTCTTGAACATCTGCCATGCCTAAATCAACACACACACACCCCACCGCACAGCTCAGCCACCGTCATCAGCTACACTACATTTTTCACCCACAACGCCTAGCTCAACCGAATTCGCGTAGTACATTGATCTCACCATCAACAACACGACAGCTGCCACCATCTCGGAAACCGACACTGACACCGCCGACTTCTCCTGCCCATACTACCCCCGTACATTCATCTCACACATCGAACTGGTCGGTCCATCGCCCAGAGACTGGCGAAGCAGTGCCCGGAGCACCCACTTACATAAGACGCATCCGCCTTTACTGCCCTCACTAAAGATGCGCATTCACCAACCACATGGACCTCAAAGACCATATGCAGAGTCACGGACTCTGCGGTAGACAACAGCCGGCGGCAGCACGCATCCAACACTTGAATCACACCACATCATCAAATACGAGCATCCACCTGACAACTCTCACACAAGTGGCATCTGTGCGTATCGGCTCCATCTGCATGTGGCTCCTCTGCTACATGCTGCGCGTGAAATCCTAACAGCTTTCTCCAATTCTTCAACGCAACCCAATAAATCCGGGCAGCCAATAAGACGCTGAAGGCCCGGAAGACTTTTTACGTAGAGAACAGTCGTTATTTGTACTAAAACGCATATTTTTCCGCAGTGTGCGCTTTTATTGAAAGAGTTGAAATGACACCAGTAAAGTGAAACACGCATTATTATTCTACTTAGTTCTTCGACGTGGCTCCTAAACAAAGCTGTGTATTTAATAAGCTGGGATAACTTGAGAAAAATTATTACAAGTCACATTTACTAACGACACTTCCGAAATTGAATTAAATGGAGGTACAAATGCATAGAAGAATAATGTCTGACTCTCGCTGAAGTGCACACTAAGTATAATTTCGTTAAACATAGAAAGACTGGAAATAATGTAGCAATTCTCATCAGTCAGCAGTTGTCGCCGAAAATAAAAAATAATCCTTGGTAAAATATAGCTCAATATCTGTGTTCAATAGCTCACACGCTGTTTGCCAGCTTTAATTGTCCGTCATACACCGACTGGTCAATGCTTTGCTAATTCCCCTGTTTGGTTAGCGATTGTGCACGCATTTAATGATCGTCTGTATTCCCGTGACCCAACGCAGAGACCACTTTCGTAATTTTGCAATTGGACGGAGATTTTCGTTGAAAGGCCGATATTCACAAAGCCGTTAAAATCCAACAACTTATTTTACCTACCTGGAAGTTGCTGTCTTATTGCGGGATTTGACAGAGACTTACATTCAGCGTTATGACTTACAGGACTTAAACAACTTCCGAAATTTAGCATTGCAAGTGATGCCCTCAAAACCCCGAGTGAGATTTTCGGAAACAATGCGATCTGTCTGACGTAGAGGCTTGTGTGCGGGCTCCAAGGTCTAGTTGTTGTGTTAAAATGAAGCGCTGCTGTTCAAAAATGATTCTCACATTTTGATAAGAAGTGCAAAAGCATGGAAGTGACAGACAAGGGCATCCTTTACTGCAAACAGGGAAATGTGTGCTAAAATCATTTGTCCTGGACGATTCGTGCACACGACGCGTCAGTTCCATGTTGGCATAATGACGTGCGCCAGGGACGACAGGGTGATCTAGGAAGCATTCACAATGACTAATGGACTGAAACGAACGAAGCGTGGTGTCTCTATTTACCTTAGACTTAAAAGGCCATCTATAGTTTACTGAAATTATCAGCAATCCGTACTCAACCCCTTTTATTCTCTGCTTCCTCAGAATATGAAGCCGTTACCGGCTGGTTTGATGTTTAAAACCATGACCAGCGAAGTTTATGCTCAGTTTCCATACACCTGGCGTTGCGTACCCCCGGCTGATAATGGCCCATTCGCGAAAAAACTGACTTCCAGTCTCCCTTTCCTATGTCAGTAACTAGGTCTTAATTTACATTCAAATAGCAGAATGTGGACAGTTTAGAATCTCAGTGATTTCGGTGGGATTTTGTTCCATGCCAAAAAATGAAAGGCCTGAAAACAGCCGACATCCTAACAACATGAGCCAAGAGGCTCAACAAAACAGTGAGTTCAGTCACGTCGGACCCAAGATACTTGCTAAGTCTACACTAACTTATGTCTTTCAGGAAAACAACTTTACTGACTATCTGTTCTGTTTACCATGGACGATAAGATGCACATTGAGCGATCTTCATCTGTGGCAAATGTCGTGCTTTAGAATATCGCTCTAAATTATCATATGCAAATATTTAGCAGACCGAATATTCAAGTCATCGCCACAGAATTAAGAACAAGCTCTATGACATATTATCTCACAATGAATCCCGCGTATGCTGTGCTGATTCAAGAAGATACCAAAACGAACAACGGCAGTCTTCGTGTGAGCTGACTAAAATCCGCACCTGCTTTCACGTGAGCGCATACTAAAAATGGCAAACCTGTGTTTCGACAACGATATTTACTCATATGGAGCTGGCAAGGGTTGCGGTTCACCAGTAGGCCCATCGACTATTAAAGTAAAAATTTCAAAAAGATTGGGTACAAGCATATTAGAAACTATTACCCATATTCTCTCACTGATTGCTTTAATTTCAAAAAAAACATCTTATACGAGTAAACGAATTTTTTTTGGATCCCTGCGTTTCAATTGCAGCAAAAGTAATCGCTCACTCTAGATAGCAATATTCAGACGGGCCTAAATTAGAATCCTTGGGGCTTATTGAAATGTGTGTACATAAACGCAACACGCGGTCTGTAGGTCACATCAACAGATGTAGTCGATCGTCTTCTCCTAAAAAACACCTGGTTCTCAGAGCATCGTATTTTTTTTTGAAAAGCAGTGGCATGTTTGGTGTTAAGAATGTGAATTAAAAAAAATTGCTGATCTGGCATTTTTAAAGTCGCAATAACGCCTTCTCGTTATTATATGTTCTAATGCTCCCGTATGTTCCTATCCTTTGCAAATATTTCCCGAAAACTTCAAGCATGAAGGACCGCCCGATAGCTTAGCAGTTGGATAAAAAAACGCTTTTTGTTTCCTTGTTTGAGTGATCAGCAAACTGCATCAGCGCATATTTAACGGTTTATGGAGTTGCCGATACAAGCAAAAATGCGAATTCCAGGGACTAGTTGATCAGAAGAAAAAGCGATCGCTGGAACAATGGCTTTATTCGCCTGACGTTTCGGATTCTCTCTTAAATCCATCATCAGAGACAGTTGCAGAAAAGGGTGGCTATTGTACAAGAAGTCGCACAGGAAGCCATTGTTCCAGCGATCGCTTCTTCTTCTGATTAACTAGTTCCTGGAACTCGCATTTTCGCTTGTATCGGCAATTTGTTTGGGCGCGCGCGCTCCGATCGGCCCGACGATGGGAAACGTTCGCCCTTCAAGAGGCCTCTACTTACGCGCAGATCCGGTTTCTGCATAGGTGTCTCGATAACAACGTGTTGCCGAAGTGTGTTTCATGGAGCTAGCGAGACGCGCAGTATTTCAGCACGGAAGACGTATGATCCGCGTGCTCCTTCAAGATTGCCATGCTAGACTACGCAAAAACCGTCAGAGAATTGACCAAGAAAAGGCCAGATGCTGCGAGTTCATGGGCGAGAACGGCACAAATCTGCTTCAGCAGAAAGTGACTGAACGATCACGCGAGCAGAGAGCGACACGCGATGCAGCACTGGGGAACAAATTCCACAAACTGCCTGATCTAACGTCATCCAGAAGCGGCACCCTGGTACACAACCTGTCGTCAAAGTAACTGACGAAGGAGCAAGCACAGGTTTTACGGCACGAAGCCTCATTCAACACAGCTGACGCGCAACCTGTCAACATGATTGCAGCAGTGGAATCGGTCATTAATCAGACGGAAGCGGCAAAGGAGACGAAGAACCTTATCAGACACCAAGTTAAGTCCCTCCTTATGACTCACAAGCCGCGCGAAGCACTCACAAAGGTCGAACGCGATGCACTAAGAGAACCCAAGGCCGACAAGGACATCGTCATTGTGCCCGCGGACAAGGGGCGTTCCACCGTCGTAATGGACAGAACAGCCTACCTTCAGAAGGCCAAAAACCTACTGGAGGATCGCCAGTTCTATGTCCCATGTGAAACCAACCCCATAAAAACGCTAACACGTGAAATTAATGCAACACTGTTGGCACTGGAGAACTCGGGTGCAATAACGGCGACCGACCGACGCATGGCGAGAGCCCAAGAAACGGCTTTGGCCCGATTCTATGGTCTACCAAAGGTGCACAAGGAGGGCGCTCCTCTCCGGCCCATTGTTTTGCTAAAAGGCACTCCAACGTACGGACTGGCAAGATGGCTGTTTCGACGCCTCAAATCTCTGACCGCTGATTCGGACACCACGGTCTTTTCGTCAACGCAATCCCTAGAGAAGCTTAAAGGAGTAAGTCTCTTGCCCAATGAAGTCATGGTATCTTTTGATGTCACGTCCGTCTTTTCTTCTATCCCCCAGAATCTGGCAATCGAGACCGTCCAGCTACTCCTACGAAACAAATACGATGAAACGGAGAATCGTCTCGGACATGCGCATGTCCTTCAGCTCCTAAAAATCTGTCTCAATACGTACTTCACGTTTGACGGAACAATCTACGAGCAAGTGAAGGGAACACCAATGGGCTCGCCGATTTCGGGATTTATCGCCGAGGCGGTGCTACAGCGGTTGGAGTCGCTGGTCTTCCAACACCACAGACCGAAATTCTGGGCTCGGTATGTGGACGATACCGTCATCGTCATCGAAAGTGATCAGGTGCTAACGTTCAAAGAACGTCTCAACAGCGTCTTCCCGGACATACAATTCACGATGGAGGAGGAAGAGAATAACCAGCTGGCATTCCTTGATGTCCTCGTCTGTCGCAAAGATTGTGACGGCCTAAAGACCAAAGTCTTCAGGAAAGCAACGAACACGACGCAAATTCTGAACTTCAACAGTAACCACCCAATCTGCCACAAACGCAGTTACGTAAGAACGCTATTTCGGCGTTTTGAGACGCACTGCAGTGAAGCGGAAGACAAGGTTGCTGAATCCCAATATCTTCGACGGGTTTTCCGAGAAAACGGTTACCCGCGCAACTTCGTCAACCAGTGCCTTCGCAAACGAGACGAGCGAAAAAATCGCGCCGACCCCAAATTCAGGCGAGCGATCCCGTACATCAAGAACGTCTCCGAGGCCGTTAGCCGCCTTCTTGCACCACTTGGGGTTGGAGTTGTTCACAGACCGGAGGCCGCCATGAGGCGTCAAGTGATGAGACCAAAAGACCCACTGCCACGGCAAGAAACATCTGAAGTCGTTTACCGGATCGGGTGCAGTTGCGGACAAAGCAACTACGTCGGAAAAACTGGAAGACTGCTCCAGACGCGAATCGCCGAACACGTGGCAGCTGTACTGAGAAATGACGCCAACTCTCAGGTCGCGGCCCATTCGACGAGACCCGGCCACGCACTCAAGTTTGATGAGGCCGAAATTCTCGCGAGAGGGGATAATCGCGTGAGCCGCGAGTTGCTTGAGTCATGGTTCACGGGACCTCAGTCTATCAACAAGTGCAACGACATCCCCACTCCATATTCTGTCCTGAGCCATAGACTGGCCAAAGCAATTGACCACTCGTGGAGCGCGCAAGCACGTAAGCCAGATGGCCGAGCAATCATCACGCCAGCATCCAACACGGGTGATGAGATGTCAGCAATTAACAACTTGCATGTCGGCCATCAAGCAATTAGCGCACCAGCGGGCAACAATCCTTGATGAAGGAAGCACGGTTAATTGCTGTAGGTTTATGGAGTATCTACGTTTTCGTTGGACTTGTTATTTGCGCATTTGTATTCGTGTACTGAGATTGAGGAGTAAGAGCAGATTGCTAAAATGCTCGTCCGTTCGTCTGGAGTTAACCTACTGTGGACCTTATATTGAGCAGTAAGATGCCAATCCGTGTACGTTGAAAACGATGCCACGCATAAATATTTGTCGCCAAAATGTCTTATAATTATACTCTAAAAAAAGTTATTCGTTTAAAAGATGTTTACTTGGGTAGGAACATGCACAAGTTTCCTGTCCGATATGGGCATTCCTTTCCCGTTAACGATGAGTTTACATGTTAAGTGAGTCTGCATAAACGGTCCAGAAGGCCATCGCTCAGGAAATAATGTTCATTATTCCACTAATCTGGAAAATAACCGCAGGAGACATCTTATTTTAAAATTCTGATAGATGTAAGCCACACATACTGTCTTCGCGAGCTGTAGGTTTAGGACAAGAAAATTTAGGATGAAGTCCCGCACTCAGGACATTCTACTGTCGTGGGATCTGCACCGTATATTTTCTTTACACAGGAGGTGAATATATTCGACGACTTACTGACTGGTTCCTACATATGTGACTTTCTGGAACCTGTCCCTCCCAGACGTGTTAATCAGCGAAATTAAGTGTATTTTTCATTGCTTTAGTCATAACTGCATATGCAGCAACATAGCTACGGAGAAGTAACATCTAATTAATCCAAGTAGTTTTGATACCTACAATCAAACAGTACGCACCCCGAACACCAATGCAAATAGTCGATCGTAATAAAAAGTTAAGTTTGAGCGAATGCGGTTTTTACATAAAATCAAGAAGACCTACATTTTATAGGTACAGTCATTGGGAGCCTATATTATGTCGTCGTACAGAAGAGCCGTCACCGTCAGGGACTTGCGCGTCTAATGCATTTAATCATTGAAAAAGCAAAAAAAAAAACAGTAAGATGATCTTGCTCGAGTTATGTTTTATCAGGATATTCAACACAATTTGGGTTTATTTACTGACTGTGTGCAATGATAAATATATAGAAGAAACTGCCACATTGCGGTGACATATTTCAACTCTCAGCTTCCATTATCGTAGAATGTGTTAAATAGATATTTCAAGGCGACATGTTTAACGTCTTTCAGCAAAGACCTATATTTTAACATATTCGGACAACTGTCGATATTAATAGCCATTGTGGACGTACTTTGCGCAACCAGACATGCGCTGGGCGCTATCCAGAAATTACTTGGCCTAAAAGTCAATGTTTGCCGGATTTAAATGATCGAAAGATGGTTGCGAAAAAACTGAATATATTTTTTACTACGTGGCCGGTTTATAGTTTCTTGAAATGTATGCAATTCGAACCTTAAAGTGTAACGAATGCTATTATAAGAAATTCTCTGTTTAAATAATTGACGATTCTATCGCAAAATTTGCAAAAACGTTATGACTGACTGTCACAGTGACATACACAGAGAAGTCATTGAAGGGTACGGCAGTGAGAACGTTATTCTGTTTATAGGTACTTTCGTTACAGAATGTGAAAAACGAACAATTTTGGAGTGCGTCGGCGTCTTCATATCCACAACCTTTTAGATCCATAATTGTAGGAAGATGCTAAAACAAAGATAGCCAAAACGGGTTGCATAATGTATGCATCTTTTAACTGCTGCGGATGTTTTGTTGAGCTTCATGCAACAGTGTGCTATAAAATGCGCCTTTATTATGATACGGCTACTTGAGTAAAGTCGTAGGGCTTGCTGTCTGGCGGGCTAATTACAAGATTTTTCATTTCTGTCAAATGCACTTGTAGCAAGCCAACTGTAAAATCCACACTTCCTATAAGAATATCATTCCCGTAGTATAAACATTTTGCATTACTTTTAATATCTCTGCTAATGCAAGCACATTCGACAGACAGGGCACACAAAGATATTTCCAACAGTAAGAGGAATGTAATGCGTTGCAGCGGAAAATGGAACTACTAGGGACGGATCTACTCGTCTACAAAAGTGCTAACAATTATTTAATGATTCTCATCTGTTTTGCAGTTAATAGTTGCTTTATAATTGACATCTGTTGAGGCTGATGCAAAATCATTAGCAGCTTGGCATTCCGTCTGTTAATATAGCACCCCATTTTTATTATTTTCATGAAGTTGAGATCATCCGAAGTGGTCGAATAATTGTCCCGCGTAAATGCTAAACGTTCGGTCATTGATTGACATAAATTCACAAAATTAATTTTGATAGGGCGAGCATTATCAGATATGGTATTCTTTGACGGATTTAAATTCTTCTAATGAGAAAATAATCCTTAACATGGGACGAACGCGGAGATGCTCTGTTACACCAACTTGGAAATATTATACAGGCGACTGCTTATGCACAACTGACGTGAAGACGTACAACTCTTCGTCGAATTCGTGTTTTGCTTAGTCGCAGTAGATCACTGTAAGGGGAAGCGTAGGCGCTGATAACGATAGGCTCAGGTTCATAGATGTTTTAACGGATTTTTTTGAAGATCTCGGCGTCTCAGTGGAATTCGAACCTACGCAGTAAAGGGAAGGCTTTAGTACAGCCAACGCTTTAACTACTTTAGCTACTAGGCCCAGCCGGACGACTCGAGTTTAATCACAATTGGGTCAAGTTACCCGCCCAACCTACTGCAACGTCTGGAATCCACCAAATCCGATACAGTAAGTTGACTGCCCAAGCAGGATTTCCTAAGTAATTCACCTAGAATCCACCAGATGACTACTAGGCTCACGTAATTCATTGATATTTTGGCAGATTTTGAATAATTCATATTGAACCAACTGTGAAAAGCTCAGCACCTCGGAGGAATTCGAATCCGCGCAGTAAGTGGAAGGCTTTAGTACAGCCAACGCTCTAACCACTTGATTTACGAGGCCCCACGGGAGACGCTCAACGCTCAAGTGGTTAGAACGTTGGCTATACAAAAGCCCTTTCCTTTCTGTTTGTGTTCAAATCCCACCGGGGCGTCGAGTTTTTCACAGTTGGGTCAATATGGATAGGCCCAGGGTCAACAGTTAGACGTCGATTTTCGCAGCAGCTAGGGCATTTGTCCTACGATGCCATAACGGCTTGCACCGCGTCGATCTTCCATCGGGCAACCGCTATAGAAGAGGTAGCGGCCGGCATCCACCATTTAAAGCTGACTCGTTTAATATATTTGCCATATCGCCATAAGTAACAATGTCTATTATATAGTTCGTCAACTCTCAACCAGCGAGCGTCTATCCCGCCGATGCCTCGAAACCATTATACTATACGAATGGTTGCCAATGATTTTTGGGCTACCAGTCTCGTTTTGTATGTTCTGTCGTTGAGCACATATTGCATATTAAAGCGTGTTTACATGGGACAAAAAGCTATTTTGGCGTACTATATTGCAGAAGAGGAAGTATATATTTAGGTTCGACTGACATTTTAGTTTATTATCATTTCGATAGTTGTAAAATAATTATAGTATCCACTTGGGTTCTGGGACTCCCATGGTTTTCAAATGCTAAGAAATTTTGTAGGGGTCCATGCTGGCTCAGCAGTGGGTTAGTTTTAACACATTCACCAGATATTTGTTTATGCAACCGTTCTATAAAAGGGACAATTTGAATTTGGGTAGAAGTCATACTCTCGGATTTCGAGGTACTAACTAGCAATACTAATCGTGGGAGGCTGTTTTGAATCCAGCCAGACATGAGGATGAATTTAAAAGTCCGAGTCAAATCCCGCATTAACGAGCATCAATTTAGCATCAACCTAGACTACGAAGTGAGTATGTGTCCTCAAACTACATTGCGGCTATCAACGTTTCCACAAAAAGCCCAAGCCACTTGGGGAAATTACGTCAGGCATGCTTTAAGGTGGCTAAGTCAGGCACGTCTAAGAGGGGATAGTGAAATTTGTGCGCAATCCTTATCCAGTCAGGTGCATTGAAAAGTCATTTTTGAAATCATGCACATTGGATGATGAAAAATGATCACATTTTTGAGGATGTCCCAAGAATGCTACACACGCAAGAGACTGGATACGGCTACTTTACAGTATTATAATAGCTGACACCCATCAATTTTAAAAGAGCATAGCTGAATGATGAGGAGTTTCACACTGTTTCTAGCTCTTTTTTGTTTTCCGCAACTGCTTTTAGCATGCAAGAAGGCAAGCGTGAGTAACTAGCAAATATAACAGCATAGAAGTGATTCATCTTGGCATTTAAATTTCCATTAACGACAAACGCTAGCATAAATTGTCTTACCAACATAAAATGTTTGTCTTTAAAGAATCGTTAAGCCTTTTAATATAAATAAATTTGCTTTGCACGCGTTTTTTGTCAGAAAACAATATCACTTACATGCGAATGCAATGATGTGTGCCTTAACTTATCTTCAAGTGTTATGTTCGACTTCTGGCAGACGTTAATATGTCTTAGTTTAAAACGTTGTTTCAGTTATATGAAATAATGTGGAGCGACACTCGTAGGACAGCTGCGTTTGTTGTTCAAAGAACCTATTTTGGTTATATAAAAAGATTTTAAGAGACTTTGGAATTTTGTGATCTCCCGAATTTAGATGACACTGTTGAATTAGCAAAAAAATAGCTAGGAGCAGTTGAACGGTTGTATTTGCTAACGTTCAGGACTATGTCAACGATTTTCTTTTATTTACTGTAACCGTCTGCAGTCTGGTTAACTTTTAAGACAAATTTTTCAAAGCTTTTCACATTGGTTCTCAATCCGTCTGCATAGAGCTCCTAATTGTTGTCAGTAATTTTTGACAGCTTGAACTCTGTAAAGACTGCCTAGAGCGACTGGTAACTTGAATACTATTTCTTTCCATAAATATGTATGTATATACAAGATCGTTTTACAATTAGGTGAACGTATACAGACATGAATTCCTTCGGCGGAGTTTCATTTGTCTGAAAGAACAAGTTGAATCA